AAAAAAAAAAAAAGTGCCAGCCTTTTTTACCCCCAAATTCTGAACTCATAGTAACGTGAGTATGTAAGGATATCGATACAGAGAATTTTTTTGCCGCATTGTTTGTAATAAAACATCACGGGGGTGCCTGGGTGGCTCAGTTGATTAAACGTCCGACTTCGGCTCTGGTCATGATCTCATGGTTCGTGAGATTGAGCCCTGTGTCAGTCTCTGTGCTGACGGCATGGAGCTTGGGATTCTCTCTCTCCCTCTCTCTGCCCCTCCCCTGGTCACGTGTGTGCTCTCTTTCTCTCAAAATAAATAAAGAAACTTAAAAAAAACCTACATCGTAAACAATTGAGAAATCTCCATTGGTGGAGGCATGAGTGAATGAATTACAGTTTATCTGTTCAGGGGAACAGAGACAGTGGAGCCACTGAAAAGAATGAGATGGATCTCTGTGAACGGACCTGAAAAGATAACTGACTTATTGTAAAGTTCAAGAATAAGTTGTGTTCTATGATCTAGGATCTCACTGGCACTAGAGGTAGTTACAGTTTTGTGGAAAAGGAAGAGGATGGCATTGATTCAGGTCACAGCCTGCACCCGCCAGGCCAAGTATGTGGTTCTGGATGTACAGAGCTGACGAAGTCACAGCCTCATGGTGGAGGATGACCTCACATGCAGCACCTTTGTGACAAGCAGAAAATAATGCGGGAGCACAGACAGGAAGACTAATTCTGACAAGGAAAGACAGAAAGACAGGGTTTGCAGCACGGGATGAGTTCTGGGGAGCAGCAGCAGATATTTCTGGAAGAGAACTTGGAACCCTGAAGTAGAGTCATAGATGATCCCAGGCCCCAGGCCGGGCGATGCGGCGGGGAGAGGGCTCTGGTCTGGGGCAGAGCGCGGCCTCTCCTCTGCTCAGCACCATCCAGCGCTGCTGGTCAGTTCTTGTCTCCTGGAGGCCCACGATACAAGCTTCCTCTCTTTCATGCACTTTCATCCATGGACCTCATGGTGACGACTCTGCCCGCCCTTCCTTCCTCCCTCCCTCCCTCCCTCCCTCCCTCCTTCCTTCCTTCCTTCCTTTTTTCTTTCACTTCCCTGACCCTTATTCATGTCTTCTAACTTGGATTTGAGGGGCCATTGGGTTTGGAAGTTTTAGTGGAAGGCAAGGAAGTAGAGTCGGGGGCGTTCCTTTTGTCGCCTTCTGACTTGATACCGTTTCCCCTCGGCAGACCCTCTTCTGGCTGTGCACAAGTGCTCTCTCACCCTGGGCACACACCTGTCACCAGCTTGGCCTGGGCACCCAGTGGGGGACGACTGCTCTCAGCTTCACCTGTGGATGCTGCTATCCTGGTGAGTGGTCCCCACTCATCCTTTGGCCATTTGAGCCCCCTCAGACGTGAGGCAAGAGCATTCTTCTCTGGTGGTGGAAAATATCCTGGGGGCTCCACTGACAGCGTGGAGCCTGCTTGGGATTCTCTCTCCTTTTCTCTCTGCACCCTCCCCTGCTTGCTCTCTGTCTCAAAATAAATAAAGTTCTGCTTGCTATCTCCTGTTTTAACAGCCCCTCTCTTGCTTCCTCCCCTTTCTGTGTCTTTCTACCTAGAAGAAGGGCAGCCCCCGTGACAGGTTGGGGATGCTGGAGTTCCCTCTCACTCCTGCCCCTTCTGCCTAGGTATGGGATGTCTCAACGGAGACCTGTGTTCCCCTTCCCTGGTTTCGCGGAGGTGGGGTTACCAATCTGTTCTGGTCTCCGGATGGCAGCAAAGTTCTGGCTACCACTCCTTCGGCTGTCTTTCGGTGAGTGGGAGGAGAGCAGGGGAAGGGGTAAGGACAGGAATGACCCAGAGAAAGGCACTTGGCTCCTGGAACTTCCAGCAGGAAGTTCTGTGACCATTCTCTGACCTGGCCCTGAGACCGGCAGAGGGAGGGAAGTACAAGTTTTGGAACCTAGAGGTCCTAAGCTGTGACCTCTTTCTGGTGCAGAGTCTGGGAGGCCCAGATGTGGACGTGCGAGAGGTGGCCTACTCTGTCAGGGCGGTGTCAGGTAAGAGGCGACTGTGATTCAGAGAGCCAGGGAGCAGGTGGGCCCCAGATTGTCCCAGCTTGTCTCCCTTTGTCCCCCTACAGACCAGTGTTCCTCTACCTTTTGTTCCTTGACCCCAGACTGGCTGCTGGAGCCCAGATGGAAACCGACTGCTGTTCACTGTATTGGGGGAACCACTCATTTACTCCTTGTCATTCCCAGAACGTTGCGGTGAGTCAGGGGAAATGGCTCCGGATGCAGAGTATCTGGGGCAGTCAGAGGAAGGCAAGAACCCCCTGGAATATGCTACTCTGAAGGATAAAGGGAAGTAAAACTTGGGAGACTTGAGAGGTGTTGATGCTTACAATAGGTGGGAGGCAGGGGACCAGTGAGAGGCCCTTTCCTGTACTCCAGAGCCTCTGCCCTTCTTGCAGGGGAGGGAAAGGGGCGCGTTGGAGGTGCAAAGTCAGCCACCATTGTGGCGGATCTGTCTGAGACAACAGTACAGACACCAGATGGAGAGGAAAGGTGAGCTGATTGGTGAGGGAGGGGCAGTCAAAAGGTGGAGGGGCCATGCTGAGCCCTCCCAACCTACTGTTCTGACCCATAGACTTGGGGGAGAGGCTCACTCCATGGTCTGGGACCCCAGTGGGGAACGTCTGGCTGTGCTCATGAAAGGTAAGAGTTGGGAGGGCGCCTGGGTGGCGCAGTCGGTTAAGTGTCCGACTTCAACCAGGTCACGATCTCGCGGTCCGTGAGTTCGAGCCCCGCGTCAGGCTCTGGGCTGATGGCTCGGAGCCTGGAGCCTGTTTCCGATTCTGTGTCTCCCTCTCTCTCTGCCCCTCCCCCGTTCATGCTCTGTCTCTCTCTGTCCCAAAAATAAATAAACGTTG